GGTCAGTGGCAGAAATAAGTAAGGTGAGGGGAACCAAAATTTCCCAAAATCTTTCGCGAAACATGCTACCGTGGACCAGCCTACCCAAGCTAAGGTGTAAGGAATCGTGCCGACAGATGAATGGCCGCAGGGTGATATGCGGTCACGAACGATCCCCTTGGGGAACCGAGCGAAACCTCATTGTAATCAGCCCTCCTCTGGTAATGCGGAGCTCTGTGAGAGTAACCAACTCTTTCCCTGCTACTCGTGGAAACACACATGAATGAAACAAACACAAAAACAGATACAGGAAAAACAAAAACCAATCCCAAGGCTGGACAGAAATGCTCTCCTCAATCTATGGCGGTGGCTGGGGATGAACAGAAATGTATACCTCAACTTACCACTTGGAATGAGACTGGACATGGCAGATCACCTGCCATGTCCAGTGATATAATACAAACGCCAAGGCGTGAGCGCATTTGCAGCGCCAAGGCCAAAAGGAGAAAGAGAGCGATAGGAGCAGGAGTGCCAGCAACTATAAGTGCACCCTCCTTCTCCCTCACTCCACCTCCAATAGCAAGGGCACTTCTTTCTGCGGGCGCCAAAAGCTCCGCCTTGAATAAAGGCAAGGAACCGGCTGCCCCTGCAGGAAAGCACCCTCACTTGAGCATCTCGACTGAGGGAATCCCAAGAAAGTTGAAGAAGCCGCGCAACGACAGTAATGTTGCTGCACCTTCCAAAACCTTCCCGAAGGCCGCCGTGAGACGCCTCAAGGTTGCCAAAGAGAGTGTGTTCGGCGAGTCTTAGCCACCACCTGCCGATATAAAGGAGACGTCTCCTAGTGACCTGTCCACCTTCCTGGATAGGACAAGATGGACGATGACCTAGGAGGACAACTCCTCGGGAGAAAGTACAATGGGCCACATGTGTCCTGAGTGCTGTGGGTCTACACTCACCCTCCCTGCTCGACAGAAATAGAGATAAAGCACAGGGGTATTCGAGCTCAGTATGGCGAGAGAGATAGCGTAACGCTGAATCAGTGGGAATAGAATGGCACAGTCGCTGGCGCATGGCGATGTGTCGCCACGGCATGTGTTGTCACCGCATGTGTTGTCACGCCGGCAAATGTTTCACATAAAAAAAATGGAAAAATGTGTTCCATTGTTGATAATGTTTTTTTTTTATCATTCACACTATTACTCGACTATTTATAAGAGCGGAGATTCGATCATAATTTTTCAGTTAACGAAAGCATAATGAAGATACACATTTCTTTTCAAGGAAAGGTAAATTTTTAAAATGATTTAAATGAGACATATTTTCTACAAATTTCCAAATGAACATTCCATGTTGTCTGTGGTAAAACAGGCGCGCGGAGCCCTATTTTCAACATTGAATCAAAATTATAAATAATGGAGATATGCTGTCTGTGTTGGAGTATTTTTTCAGTTTATTAGCCGCCATCATCATGTTTTTTGGTTTATAGTTACACGTTATTGAAGGGAAACAGGCAACGGAAGCAGGACTCGCTTCGTTTGATAATGTCTACCGCAGTGGAAGACGAAACATCATATATACAAACTTGATGACCACGTCCAATAAACCTGAAAAAAAGTCTTGACACTTCTATGAATTTGTAATGAATACAATTAAAAGACCTTGAATAACTTTGGAGATGGTAGTACAATAACCTTTTGCATAAAAAAGTATTGATGTGCCTAGAAGATATTCTTGGAACAAAAATATCAATTTCTGATAATAGTACAGGACAATCCAATTTGCCATCCAATAGCTTATACAGAAATAAAACAGATGCCTGATTTCTTCTTTTTTCTAAGGCTACAAAGTCAAATCTGCATAGCAGGATAAGTTCCGGTCATTCTAAAAGTAAGAAATTTTAAAAACTTCTTTTGGACTCTACCAATTGCTGATGTGTATTGATGGTATATAGGATTCCATATAATGGACCCTTATTCTAGTTTTGGCCTCACCAGACTGAAATACAGAGAGGACAAGGTTAGCATGTTATGAAAATTTCTGCAGTTCCTTATCATAAAACCGTATGCGCGGTAAGCTGAATTTATAATATGATTAATATGGTAGTTGAAAGTAAGTTGATGATCAAAATAGATTCCTAGATCCTTAATATTCTCAGCTCTTTCCAATATAATGTTGTCGATGTGGTAAAGAAATTCTAGTGTATTAAGTTTTCTACTGAAGGTAACAATTTTACATTTAGATATATTCAAATGGTGACGATTCTTGAGACACCAATTTTGTATAAGATCAATCTCCTTTTACATAATGTTACAATCAACTTAACAGTTTATTGATGTATACAGTTGCAAATCATCAGCAAGCATTAATTTATTGCAAGTTATTGAGTTGCACAGATCATTAATAAATAGTAAAAACAATAATGGACCAATATTGGATCCTTGCGGGACTCCGCTGGTTGCTAAATACACATCTGAAAAAAAGCCGCGATAATATACGTATTGATTACGTTCGCTAAGGTATGATCCCAAAAGTTGACAATAAATTTCTTCGAAACCCATGCAAAAAAGTTTACAAATTAGTAACTTATGGCTGACCCTAACGAACTTTAGAGAAGTCCGTGTACACCACATCTACTTGCCCTCTACGGTCTAACGATTCACATAAATATTGATGAAAATTCATATTAAAACTACTTAATACACTTTATTGTATGATTTTCAATATAAAGGGTTTTACAAAAACCGCGACACGTGTTTCGATATAAAATAGCTTTATCAAACGTAAAAAAGCTATTGTATAGCTGAATATATTGCATTCATCAACTGTAAATTGACAAAAACATTCTCCTGGTGATCATTCGATTTGACATAACTCAAAAATCTTGCCGCATTCGTTGTAGAGAAAAACTAAGTTTACTGAATGTTTGCTACAATAACCCCAGAAGGCAATTGCATAACTTAGATCTCATCAATGGTAGGTCATTAAGGCTATTGAGGCTTTTGCAATCCTTACTGCATAACATCAGAATAATATTTTTGTATTGAAATTCTCACTGTGATGTTTATATTAAATAATATGTCTTTATTCACATAATGATACAATAAATAAATGTGAACATTTACTGAAACGGGAAAGGCTGAAGATCAGTTGGTTGCATC